TAATTTTTGTACATGTGGGTGTATTACAAAGAATATCAACGTTAAAATCTCCACATACAATAATTTTTTTAATACTATTAAATACTTTTTTTAAAATATCCTCCATCACCCCTTCAAAAACATTGTAATCACTATTAGGAGGCCTGTACACACATATAAGGATATAATTTTCTAGTTCTATACAAGATAATTCTATACAACACTCAATAGAAAGTCTAACAATGTCAGCACGTTCCTTTACTTTAATATTATTTCTTGCAATTATCATAGACCCGCCTCTGTTAACTGACTTTCTATTGAAGCAGCTGACAACGTTATAATTATTTAAATTGAACATCATATTGCTTTCTTTAAGCCAATGTTCTGTGAAACAGACAATATCAATATTATACTTTTCTAAAAATAATTGTATAATTAACTCGCTGCCGGGAAAACTTTGTATGTTCTGATGAACAATTATTAATTCTGATTGCTTTCCCTTTGTCTTTGTGAGCAGTTTAAATCTGCAGTCATAGTACTTATGTCACAAATATTAATAGAATTATCTGTTATGTCAGCATTTTTATGTTTAAGTTTACCATGTAAACTGTTCATGTAGTCAATATTATAAGCCACTAAAGTGGCTATTTTATTTTTAGATGATTTAGAAAGATACATTGTATCTTTTGTCAAATAAAAATCACTAATAAAACTATTAGTATCAAAAAATGTCAAAATGTCACTATGACGACATGTCAATGTATGTAATAAGTTATTTAGGTAATGTACCTTACTGTTAATTTTTATATAATGCGTTGTACAATATAGAGAATAATAAAAGAACGTAAACAGCAGACAAAATGTATAAGTACAATAAGACATATATCATATTGTATATCCATAATTATATTCTTAGTTAATTGCTATAATGGTCCGGCATTCAGGTGTCTAGTCAATGCAGATATTATTAGCATTTATACAAAGACAAATAATGGCATCATATGTTTATAAAGAGATAACGTTAGCTAATAAGAAGGAAAATGTTGAGATCGATAGTTTACAATGAATATAATATACTAATTAATGGAAATAAACTGATTACGGATGTGTATTTGAAAATAAGGATAAAAGATATCTATACATGATTTATTTATGACAAAAATAGACTGATTTTAATATTAGTAAATTTACAAGATACTTCAACAGCAAGACAGATTACCCAAAAAACTTGACAATCGATTATGGAAGAATAAACTTAACATATGAATAAATATTATTTCATTAGATATCAGATTTTTTTTTCATTCAGACAATACACAGAAATAAGATTTTTTTTCTAATTATTGAATATAATAATCTCTGATTGTAATACAATTAAAAAAAGTCAGAAATACGCAACAGATTCAAATATGTAGATTTTTAATAATAGACGTATACATATCTTGTGTCATGTAATACAGTTGACACAGGTACAGGTTTTTCTTTTTTCGATAATTTTAATGTATATTTTTAGGTTTTGATAATATAAATTTTTTTACCAGGATTTTTTTAAAACCCTGTTATGAATATAAAAATACATAATACCATTGAAAATGTCTATTTACTTATTAATTTTTTCAATTATATAATTTAATTTACATAATGCGTATAATAATATCACAGTACGATTACAGTTTATTATCTAAAAGCACGTGATGAACATTTATGTTTATCCGAACGGCATTTTCATTGACAGATAATATAATAACTTGTAATATATACTTGTAACAAATTTTTATCATTAACTTCGTCTCTGTGACCGGGATAAAAAATAATGGTGTTATTCTCTATTTAAAATACTTAGTGTTACTTGTTGAGCTGTTTAATAAACTTAAAAAAAAATTTCACAATTTTTTATTTAGTAAGGACATTATTCATACCTAGTACAAGTTTGTTAACAATTACTCAAAATATCTAATAAATAATATATTATTATTATACATAACTATATATTTTACATACTTGTATTGTATATACTACTTAAATTTATGTTTCTTTAAATAAAAATCTTTTTTATGATATTTCTGTATAAAAATTATGAGTCATAGTATTATCACCTATGGAATATAAAAATACTAATTTTGTTTATTCTACAAAATATTTGTCATCATGAAAACACGATTACGATAAAAAAAATTATAGAAAAGTAATTTAATTATATTCATTTAAATAGAACTGATCATATTTTGTTGCAACCTCTGCGTGGGTTGGGAATGTCGTTATCTGTATTTTTTATAATCAGCAAATTTCTGCAACTACGATGCCAGAGACGTTCATGTACCTATGCTTTATAAAAGTGATGACACAGTTGAACTTGATGAATATCTCCATTATGCATGCTACTTCTGTTTATAAGATGAACTATCTGTTCGTTCATTGTCCGAATAATAGTTTTATAATGGCTATTTAACTATTTACTCTTTAATATATCAGTTACAAAAATAAGGATTACAATAAATATTCATAATTAGATGAAATGATAGAAAAAGTATTTACTATTATAAATAATTGAGGTTTGTTATTATTCAGTTATAAAATTACGTCGAACCACGATTACCACTTGCAAACAGTTGGCTTGTAATACAATTTTTTTTTATATAAGACAGAATAGCTATTTGCTATTCTGTTTTATGGATTTTTTTTTACACAATCCATCCAGCCATTTTCCATTATAAATATAACAAACAGACAAACAGACATTTATTTCAAGTCTTATTATTTTACATTTTATATATCTAGATAGGCTTTTATATAAATGTCATTAAGTTAAACCGATTCGGCTTTGTTTCGATATAAACAAGAAATTGTAAATCATCGTTCTTTAATTGCTATCGTACTTGGATATTGTTAGAGCTATAATCTTACTGTTCCATCTTTTCACTACATAAGAACAAATTTTGTGGGCTAATTTGACTGTTGTTTTTTTTAATACACGAGTATAATTTAATTTACTAATATCAGAATAAATACGTATTCTGTATTTATATTTCTCAAGTTTCTTACATAGAGCTGTCTGTTCGTTAGATAATAGTTACTAAAATATTCTCAACAGTAAAGTAGCTGTTCGTATCATATTTGATTTATATTATTTAAATAAATAAATAGCCTTTATATTTTAAACAATGTCTATAGTATAAACAAAAGCTAAACATGACACATTAAAATTATCTTGCTTACACAAATAAATCAATAAATTTATTTTTTATAATAAATTTAGTTTTTATAACTTTAGTAATTCAAATTTAGTGATGCTGAGTCAGTCAGTCGGGAGTTACCTTTTCATATTGGTATAGATAATATACAATAAATATATTGAGTAGAATGATTAAGTTAATTATAACATATTTATATAATTAACTGGTTATTGATACTTTGCAATAACGAATGTCATACGTGTTATTAAGTATAATTATTATCATTTCCAATAACATATTAAAGTCCATGGATGAATAATAATACCTAATGCTGTCGGAATCATGACGTTTCTATTTTTATACTAAAAATTATATAATTATCCTTCTAATATTATTAATGTGAAAGTTTATGAGATTATGAAGGTTGTCTATTATTTAATCACACTTCAACAGCTGAATGAACTTGAATGAAATTTTGTATATGTGTAGATTAAGTATAAACTTAGTATAAAGTACTATATACTTCACAAACTAAGACATTAAGATACAAAACATGTTACTTTATATACTGATACATGCGGGTGAAGCCTCAGTAAATAGCTTATTCAATTATTTGTATGATTATGAATGTATTAATATACATAATTATGCAATTGTATATATCTATTATTTCGAGTATGACGTACTTCTATGAGTTCATATACCAAGGCACTCGCTCGGCCACGAGTCGTCGACCCGGCCGCCGTCACCTTGCCTCGCGCCAACTTACGCAATTTGTTAATCTTATCATCAGCATGCCCATCCAAACGACCTCGGAGCCACTCTTACCCTCGCCGAATCTCAACGCCTACTTAGTCCAAGCGATAATTGTATAATTAAAATATAAATTATATTTTACTAAAAAATAAATATATATCCAGATTTATATCTTAGATTATATAGATAGAGTGTCTCCATACAAAAGCTTCAAGAAAAGCGGGTCAACTTTTCATACAAATTTGCGTGATAAATAGTAGAGGTGTTTCCTTTATAACGTCTATATTTATTTCGTTTTATAATTTTTGCATCTTTTTAATGCATGAAACTCATTTTATTTATTTGATAATTAAATATAGAAAGATTAACATACATTATGTACGTTAATATGTAGAACACTGATAAAAAACGAGTCAACTAATTTGAGAATTAGCTGACTAAAAGTTGATCCGTTTTTGAGACTCTATGCTCTATCTATATAATTTAAGAGATGTATCATATACATCACAAGTCAAATCAACCAAATCTTATATATGAAATAAAAATAATTAATATATATATTGCTTACATTATTTATATTACGGAATATTTTTGCAATTTCACCTATTCATTTTAAGATATATTAAAAAATCTAATATAATAATACAAGAGTTGGACTAATACTATACATTCTATTTTATTTGTAAATTTAATTTTAGAAATATTTAGTAAGAAAAACAAAAGGGAGTAAAATAGGTTGCATGAAATTATTTATTTTTATCTTCTAATAAATGTGTTTGAATTTGTGCACTGTAATATATTTATAAACGCTTAGAAAACAAAATATTTTTTTATCAAATCTGAGGTTACACATGATTTTATAAATGAACACGTAGCCTAATATTAAACTATCGTGTTTATAAAAGTAATATTCAAAACTAAAAAAAAAAATTAAGTACAAAACTAACACGAAAGCAGTCTACGCTCGGTGCTACGAATCTCGTAGCACGCTCGCGGAAAAGTAGCGGAGAGAGGAGAGTCCACATCAGAGTGCGGTGGGACGAGCCTGCGTGTGCGCCACCCCAAATGTGAGAGTATTTATTGGCAAGGCCATACTAGCGTCGCGCCAGTGTACAGGCAAACGCCGTACGAGATATACAATCGTATCGTTCTTGTAATCGCACTGCTGCGATCTACGGTCCGCGCACTAATGTTACGGGCAGTTTACCATTAATAAATATCGTTTTAATCACATAAAAAAGAAAATATGATAATAATGCTAACAGACTCTAAAATACTGTGGGGACTATGGCAAGTGGTGAGCTACTGTGCATCGCGAACTTCTTTAACGCTGCTGTTGGCAGCCGGCGTCTTGTTCTTGGTGGCGAAGCTGGTAACAACGTGGAATGATATTCGCAAACTACCACCGGGCCCGTGGGCTCCGCCTGTAGTCGGCTACCTTCCATTTCTTGGAGTTCGGCATAAAACCTTCCTGGAACTTGCTCAAAGTTATGGCTCACTATTTTCAACTAGACTCGGTAATCAACTGACAGTGGTTCTCAGTGACTATAAACTTATTAGAGAAGCTTTTCGTCGAGAAGAATTTACTGGCCGTCCAAACACACCACTGATGCATACATTGGATGGTCTCGGTAAGTCTTAATATATACTATATACATATTTATAACATGTTATTACATATCTTTCATCTCAAAATTAAGTTTTTTTGTGCAGAACATTAAGGAAACTATTTTTATTATTATAATTTGATCTACTCGTAATTAAAAAAACATTTAAATTGCATTGCAGTTGTTTTAAGACTGTGACCATTAAAGCACTCTTAATAAAAAAAAAAAACACTCTATTTAAATTATGAAAATGAAATCGTTATTTACGTATAAGTTGACCTTCTAAATAAAAAATAATAATATGAGTGACAAAAGTATGCACATGGGCATGTGGGCGTCACATACCTGCCCGTCCCACCCGCTAGCACATTATGCACCTCCCACTTACGTTGATCCCTCACTTAACGCCTCCTTCTGTACAGGCATTATCAATAGCGAGGGTCGCCTTTGGAAGAATCAACGCCGCTTTTTACATGAAAAACTTCGCGAGTTTGGAATGACTTATATGGGAAATGGAAAGAAGATTATGGAGAGTAGAATTAAGGTCTGTATAATTTGAAAAATATTTTAATGTTTGTGGTTGTGTGAGATAAAAAAAATCTGACTTTCTTTTAATTTTTTAACAGAATGAAGTATACGAGCTTATCAATAATCTCTATCGATCAGAAGGCTCCCCGGTTGACGCAAATCCTTTGCTCTCCTTAGTTGTATCCAATGTTATCTGCGGCATCACTATGTCCGTGAGGTTTACTCCTGGAGACGCTAGATTTAAAAGGCTTAATTTTCTTATTGAAGAAGGTATGCGCCTTTTCGGAGAAGTCCACTATGGAGAATATATTCCACTTTATAACGTAAGTTCTTCATATAATACTGTTACAATAATATTAATTTTTTTTTATTGAAAAATATAACTTACTTTTCATTATTTCTTGCAGTATCTTCCTGGAAAAGCTCAAGCAAAGGAGAGAGTTGTTAAAAATCGCGCAGAAATGTTTGAATTTTATCAGACGTTGATTGATGAGCACAAATCTACATTGGATTCAAATAATATAAGAGATCTTATCGATATTTATCTTATTGAGATTGATAAAGCTAAAGATGAAGGAAGGGAGGACGAACTCTTTGAAGGTAGAAATCATGGTAAGTTATTTAAATCTACTATCTTGATAATATTGTATTATATTTATGGAAGTTAATAAAGATGTTTAAATATTTATTATTTAAATAAAATTTAGTACATAAATGAATCATATCCTTGATTAACACCTTATCATCTTGTTTTACGCGTGCAGTCTTAGCTTACTAATAATTAGGTATATATATTTCGATTCTTAATTATTTGTATTTATTTTTAATATAAAGTATCTATTATTTTTCAGACCTGCATATAAAACAGATTTTGGGAGATCTATTTTCCGCTGGTATGGAAACAATTAAATCTTCTTTATTGTGGATGATTGTATTCATGTTAAGAAATCCCGAAGTCAAAAGACGTGTTCAAGAAGAAATAGATACCGTAATTGGACGTGAAAGACTTCCATCTATTGAAGATATGTCTCTATTACCGTACACTGAAACTACTATATTAGAGACCCTCCGCATGTCTAGCATCGTACCTTTAGGGACAACACATTCACCGACTAAGTATGTTTAATTTTTTTTTAATAATGTATACGAAATAATAACAATTAAATTTCTCCGTTTATACTAATATTCTATTTTCTTTCACAGAGATGTCAGTCTCAATGGCTACAAGATTCCAGCTGGCTCACAAGTAGTGCCTCTAATCAACTGTGTACATATGGATCCCAAACTTTGGCACGAACCTAAACAATTCAACCCCAGTCGTTTCATTGACGAAAATGGAAAGATTAAGCGTCCAGAATTCTTCATGCCCTTCGGAGTAGGACGACGTATGTGTTTGGGTGATGTGTTAGCGCGCATGGAAATGTTTATGTTTTTCGCTTGCATCATGCACCAATTTGATGTTCAGATGGAAGACGGTGACAGCTTACCATCTTTAGAAGGCACTGTTGGAGCGACAATAGCACCAAAAGCTTTCCGAGTAAAGTTCATATCACGTGCACCACTCATACTACCGCCGCCGCCCGTGCCTGACCACCCACATCTACGTCACGTTGGCGCACATTAGATGGCACTGATGTTTTTTTTGTTATTTTTCATACCCACCAGTATTTAATGATCACTCGTTTTAGAGCGCATCGTCACCATTTATTTAAGTATATATTATTATAAGTGACGACATCGTTTCTACGATGATCGAGGCTGTGCATAAAGTGTTCAACAATAGTAAACTGAATGTTAAGTTCAGTTCATTTTAGATATAATGAATATTCCCATCGTTGATATTAATGTTGTAAGTGTATTCAAACGTAGATTTCTTTTATTTTATGTCTATGCGATAATAATCACACTATAATATTGTTTTAATTAAGAATATATGATGATTAAGCTCTAGTACCTATACCAAATTAATGTATATTCTAGGTCATTATTTATTAGAAGCTTTGATTGGAAGAATGTGTGTTGAGTGTGATCTCATGTTTGTTGAATTGTAGTTTTTAATTTGCAATTCGATATATAACATCATATTTTTAGATACCTATCATGAACAACATTCCGTAGTCTAACCACTGCAAACTAGTCTTATTAATTTGATTTGAATGTAATCTGAGATACCTATCATTATTAAAACAAACTCTATATATAGTTATCAGTATATTTTTTAAATTGTTAGCAACCAAGTTGCAGTAAAGTTCAAACTTATAAAAAGTCTGTACTATTTTAAACTCACCGTTATTGGATACCAATACCTATTTACCATGCTTTGTATATAATGCCTGTATTTTAAAACTAAGTACTTTAAAATAAAAAATAATGAAATTATTTTAAACCCACTTTTTGTTTGATTTATTTTCTATTAAAATAATTTTATATCTTCTTAACAAAATCCACTATTAAAAACTAATATGTAGACGAAACTTTATTTGTTATATTATTTAAGATAAAATTGAACCGATTTAAATGAAAAATTGAGAAGGTCGATTAACTAAGAAATAGATAGATAATGAGGCCATGAAAACCTACTTTCCTTTCTTAAAACAAAATTCCAATTTTTATTAAATTATCAATAGGACACATAAATTTTTACTATCAATAGTGTGCAAAGAAATTACGTTCAACGTATATTATTAATGTAAAAGTCTTTTAGTTTTTTGTTTTTGATTTATCTATTACACCTAAATTACTAAACACAGATTTTTATGAAAAATAGCATAGATCATCTGCTTAAGTAGCGGTCTTGCACTGTGCGTTATCAGGGCACTTTCCTTCATACACAACACGCTTTGGAATCAATTTCCAGCAGTAATATTTCTGAACGAATACGACATCGTAACGTTACAGAAAAGAGCATATTCCTTCTTAAGAAGTCGACAGCGCACCTGCAATGTCTGGTATTACGGGTGCTTATGGGCAGTGGTAGTCACTTACCATCAGAAGAATTGTCCAGAGAAGTCAAAAATTAATATACAGATAGATACATACATATCCGTTACACCTTTCTCCCACTACGCCGGTTATGGGTACTTTTAATTCAGCCCTTTTCTCTGCATGTGGTGCATTTAGTCGACATACATTTGTTTAAAATGGCTATTAACGACATTTTCATTCATTCGTGCTTGATAAATCTCTTTTGTAAATCTTCTTTCTTTCATCTCCTTTAAATTGCCAAAGCAACGCTACAAAGATATCTAAATACAAGATATTACATTGATTAGAATATTTTTTACTGACATTAAGTAGCTTAAGAAATGGAGAAAGTTCTCGACTTTCACAATTAAGTTTATTTATATTGATGCCGGAATTTTATTATATTTAAATTTTTATAGAAAAAAAACACAACCTGAGAACGATGTATTAAATAATTGTTGTTATATATTAACAACATCTTTTATCTGGAGATACAAAAATATCTTGTAGGTACGTTTGTATATCAAAATTTTTGAGTGTTCATCAATAAGTTTTATATCAATCAACAATGCCGTGGCCCTTAGAATAAATAAACCAAAATAAACCTTTGAGAACTGCACATAAATCATCCGGTTATAGTTGTATACGTATCAAGAACTCGTCAATTTTATTTGCTGCTGTTACCTGTGCCAGATAAATTGCTAACAATAATGCATACATTATATAAAAGTTAAGGAGAAGATTATTGTTAGTATTCTAACATCTGAACTACGACAATTATCTCTTGGGCCCTACTTTTTAATGTAATTTCAATGTACTATGGCATTAGTTTGTTGATTCTTTTATGTCGTATAAAAAAAGTAAAATTAACAGAACATAGTGAACAGAACTTATTTTGTATATAATGTCAGAACTCACCATCACAGGTGAGATTGTGGTCAAAGACACTCAAAACGAAAATTAGAACCGAAACCGATATTTCAGCTTCAGTTGCAGTGACGGCCTGTATTTATTAATGGAAGAAATTCTTATTCTTACTTTCCCAGAGGGAGACTTTGTTTGACAAAAGTCGTTTGCTTGGGCACTTCTGTCCCATTCGTATTTCTACCGTGAAGCAGTTATGTTTACATAGCTGTGTTTCGGTTTGAAGAGTGGGATATGGCAGTGAATTTACAGGATACAGAGGACAGGATACCTGAAACCTCAGGAATGGTAACGCATGGGGACTATCATGAGCGAAATAATATACTATGGTACTGCTCATATCAATAGGTGACCACTTTCCATTAGGTGGGCCGTCAGCTTGTTTGCCATTCTAAGTTGCATAAAAATAAAATTTTACTAATTATAAATGTTCGAAAGAGTTGTGTTTGAATCGAAGCATTTGGCGTTCCATTGTTTCTGCCTACCCTAATGGGAGACAGACGTGACAGATATGTATGTATGTATTATAAATGTAAAAGTGAGTTTGTTAGTAAGTAAGAAAGAGAAGGCCATAAGCAACATTTTATCTCAGTCAGGATACATATCCCGAAAAAACGAACGAAATCGTGGGTATTAACCATTAATTAGTATTAGTAGCCCTTAACTGTCCACTGCTGAATATATATTCTCCATAAGAAGGGTTCTGCCAATAGTCGCTACGCTTGGCAGGTGCGTTGGCAGTTTGGCTTTTGCTGATGTATTAAAAAAGACGCTGCTACCCATCCCTCGACCATAAGTTTCCTTAGTCGTTTCTTACGACACCTACAGGAAAGAATAGAATAGAATAGAATAGAATAGAAATCATTTATTCAAATAAACTTACATTGAAGCACTTTTGAAAAGTCATTACATTTTTTTTTAATTTACCGCTCGTTCGGAAAGCTGTCTCATCACAAGAAGAACGAGCAAGAAACTTGCGTGATGCTCTTTTAAATAATTTTATTATTATTTTACATTTTTAAGTTTAATTGTGTGAATACAAACCACCAATTAGCACTAATTCAATTAAATACTCAAAAAGAAAAAAAAAATTGAATACATAACCAACTGGTTAAACAATTAATAAGAGGAAATCAGTCATAGTGATTAGAGCAGACCAGTCCCTACAAGCAGCACCCGTTCACGAGTATGACGGATGAGCCAGCCATCACTGCGCTCGACCATATTTTAGGGAGCCCAATGACCCGGCCCACCACGCCGCCACAAGTCTGGACATTTTAGTGAGCATGACTACTCAAAACACTAGACCACGTCAAAGCTACTCACAATTGCCATCTGATAGTTATAGTATTCACATTTTACATAAGAATGCATGCGGCAATTAATACAAAAAACCGCTACGCTTTCATATTTCTAAAATTAATCAATTAAATCAAGAAAGCAATGAGAAAATAAAATTATAACGTTGTATGCTAATAAACTAATTATTTACTTGATATGTTGTCATCTATGAATTCGTCTATCCTGTAATAGGCTTTCTTACATAAAAATTGTTTAATATAAGATTTGAATTGCCTCTCTGTCAGATTTAATGCAGATTCCGGCAGTTTATTATAAAATCTTATGCAATTACCATAGAATGAATTACTGATTTTGTGCAGACGGCATTTAGGTAAAATAAGCTTATTTATATTGCGTAAGTTTCTACTTGTACAGTCTTTGAGTTTTTTAAAACTCGCTAAGTTCTTCCGTGTATACATAATATTTTCATAAATGTATTGTGAAGTAACTGTGAGGATATTTGAGTCTTTAAAGCACTGACGTAATGACTCTCTTGAACCCATACCATAAATAGAACGTATGGCTCTCTTTTGTAAAACAAATATAGTATTTATATCGGCTGCTTTACCCCACAGCAGTATGCCATAAGACATTATGCTATGGAAATAACTGAAATATACAAGTTTAGCCGTCGCCACGTCTGTTAATTGCCTAATTCTTCTAATTGCATATGCAGCAGAACTGAGTCTACTGGCCAATTTTGAAATATGGGGCCCCCATTGTAATTTCGAGTCCACTGTTATACCTAAAAAAACTGTATCATTAACAAAATTTACTATTTCGTCATTAAGCAATAACTGTGTATTTATTAGTCTTACATTAGGAAGTGTAAATTTTATACACTTTGTTTTGCTGGAATTTAATAATAGGTTATTACATGTAAACCAATTTAATATTGCAGACATAGCACAATTTACATCGTCTAATTGATAAAGAAAGGGGTGGCCTGTTCTAGGCTGAGACCTACACGAAAATCGTAGGTAAGAGCTACTTATTTTATAAATCTATAGCATTATTGCTTTAAAAAGTATATATAATCTATATATATATAATATAATCTACATGAGAGAAGAAAGACAATTATTTAAAAACTAATGAAAAGTCCCATCTTTTTTTCATTATTTTTATTTGGTTATTGATTATTCGCATTACGACTTAATTTTACAACTATATTAGACGATTATGTCATCAATTCTGTACCGATTTTCACAATCCTTATGGGAATCTATAGAAATTGCTCCCTTGTTCGTTTTAATTTAATAACGATTGAAGTTGCCGTTTTTGTTGTCAGGGATCAAAAATCAATCTGTAGAGAGTTAAAACACTCAAATAGATGGCCTAAATTCAAATATTTCCAAATAATTTTTTTTTTTTTTTTCGAAACAAAATGTACTTGCGAAATATATATAATTAAAATATACGTTAAAAAGTAAAGTGATACGTAACTATAATTAATTTCCAAATACTCCTATGAAGTTCAAATAGTAAATTATTTAAAATATTAACAGGAATATCAAACTGCGAAACAGCGTAAGCACAGGCATAAGGCTGAGATATCATCATAAACGTTAAATACAGGAACATCATGAACCAAAACATAAATGTCATTTTGTACTTAAATAAACTTCTTACTGTTCTTAAAAAAAATGTGTAGTGTTTTATTGATTTCTTACGATGTTCGATTTCCATGCATTGTTTAGAATGTATAAAGCCAAATTACAAAAAGGTTTTTTTGTATTATCAGAAACAAAAACATTCGGCACTTGTCAGTTATTAAGTGAACCCTATCCACGGATACAAAGAGAATTCATAAAAAATATTCTAATATAATAATATAGTGGGAAATCGCCATATTACTTTAGTAATATAAAGGTTTAAATCTTTTAGTTTTAAACTGTAATCGACATTACTATTTTCATATTTTTAGTAATAGTAACAAAAAGAAACACTATTACTTTTGCTTTGTTTAAATAATTTTATGTTTATAATTTAAACTAAAAGAATATAAGAAAATTAAATAAAAGAAATAAAAACCCGTCAAACATCATCGCAGTAATAATGAACTGCAGGGGGTGTCAAGGTAACACCGACTTTGCCTTGCATTTCCTCAAGTGTTGGGGGGTTCGAAGCTAACCTTACGCGCTTGCGTCTGAACAATCTAGTTACCAGACCACACGACAACATACGAGATAATTCATCTCCGGGACACATACGTTTTCCTGAAAATTTTATTAAAAATAATTATAAACCTATAGGTACACTAAATTTGAATTATTAGCAAACATATTTATTTCATTATTAGACATTTACTGGGTACAGAGGAATAACACCTGAGTCCTCAGGAATGGCAACGCATGGGGGGTATCATGGGCGTAACAGTATACTCTATTATGTCCATGGTACTGCTCATGTCTATAGGCGACGGTTACCACTTTCCATCAGGTGGGCCGTCAGCTTGTTTGCCATTCTAAGTTGTATAAAAAAGAAAATATAATAAAGTTAAAAAGGTTAATAATTAAATAAAATGTAACATTACGTTAAACATATATCTATATATTATAAACGCTTTATCGAAATAAAAGCATGCGCTTTTTAAAAGCCTTGCCATAGAATAATTTACATGTAATAAAAATTTATTGATTAGTTGACGTTTTGAAATATACTCTGTATTTATAATGTAAATTAATTGTAATTTACCAATGCATAAATACCTGTTTGGAAAGGGATAAATTCTTGTGGTTTTAGTAAGCTTCCGTCTGGCGCTATGAAACGACTAGGGCGAAATTCTTCAGGGTTTTCCCAAACATCTGGGTCCATATGCAGAGCCCACTGTAGAGGAATTACCATGGCTCCTTTAGGGATTTTGTAATTACCCAAAAATGTGTCCTGAAGTTAAAAAAAAAATTATCTCAATGTTTTTAAATACAACTAACATCATGGATAATCGATATCTAAATTAAAGGTTAATATTAATAGATATTATTAATCATCAATGTACAAAAATTACTTATACATCGTACATTTTAAGTATGACAATATAAAAGTTACATAGTATAAGTCATAATTACTAATAGATATTTATATTTACTTTATACAATACAAAAAAAAAACAAATACTTTATACTTATATTATTATTTAAAATGACGTCAAAAACTGGCAATTTATTCAAAAGCAATATTTATTCATTGATCAGGTTTCTAAATATTTGAGTCAATGATTAGGTAATTTATTAATTGACTATATTTAACTAACTTCAACACATCCATGTGGAATGCCAACAGGTACGATGGACCTGATTCTCTGGGTTTCACAAATAGTTGCCATAAGATAAGGCAATCTCGATACGTCCACTTCTGCTCCCTCTTCTGGATAATTAGATAAGATTTCTTTACGGACCAGTTCCTGTAAATTATAATAGTTTATCAACATTTCTTTCTACGTATCTTATGAGTAGCAAATAAACTAACGAATGTAAACCAATAAACTAAAGTTAACTAATAATAACATCACAGAATATTGTGTGACGATGGTGCTATTCTCCACGCATTTTTATCTTAGAGGAAATATTTTATTTTGAATATTTTAATTCATTTATCCTTTTCACTAGAGTCTATATTAATGAAAGCATTTCTATGAAATCTAGCATTGAACTATAGTTTACTTTGTTCGCAGAGGAATTTCGATTTAAAATAAGTATTTTAATACAAAATCTCACCTGTTCGTCTGGATACAAAGACATATAAAGCAAAAACCAGGCTAGAGTAACAGATGTGGTATCTAATCCTGCACCAAACATATCAGCCAAAAGATACAGCAATTGTTCGTCTGTCACATAACGTGCGGTTTCGTCGCCCTTTTCAAACCTTTTTTTCTGCTCTTTTAAAAAACTATCCAAAACACACTCTCCATCAGTTTCAATAAGAATATTCGGGTCAAAGAAATGTTCTTCAGTGTCTGATGCATGTTTGCTATATTTGATACATTTGATATATCCATCGGGATGATCGTCAAATATACGACTGTGAAGGGGATACTCGGCGCCTTTGGGAATTTCTAACCCTAGCATTTTGCGCCGCCTTGCTATAATACTAGCGTAAAGTCGGTGGGACTGAGCTTGCCCACGTACTATTATTTTTATAGTATTTCGAGTGGATGGTGAAACAAATCTGTAATCAAAAATACAATTTCAAGTAATTATACATTTTATTTTTATCTACATAAATATTCAACACAATATTTAGTTTTACACGAAGTTAACATTTCTTGGGAGATGGGAAATATTTGAATCAATTATGAGTTTTATTCGTCAATAATGGATATTATTGAGATGTCTTCTTTTAGAGCAATTATTAAGTAAAAAAAGCAATTTCCTCACCGCACAAAAGGTAAGAAGTTAACAACACCAGCTACACCCATTTCATGGCACCCCTCTTCTTGAATCTGCCGACACCAATTCCAAGTTTTGTCATCCGGAGGAAATTTGAATCCGAATATAATTTCATTAACAACATTTCCTAACGAATTTGTAAGCATGTGAGAAAGGTCTAGTGGTGATCCGGACAATTTTTCCACATTCTAAAACAATTATATTTAAAAATATTATTTATTACATTATAATATACAAGTGTCTCTTAGTATCTACAAGACGAGTTTAGATTATCCGAATTGAATAGGTATAATTCTGTCATAAAGTTGGATGCGTGCTTTATTGTATTTAGGCTTAAGCTGTAAAAATTAGTAAAATCACTGTTATAAGAACTTTTGTACTTATCCCTTAAGTGTTGACGTATCATTGATATTCACAGATATCAATGTTGTATTTTTTTATAATAATTTTTTTAAATATATAGTATAATATTCGAATACAATCATAAATATATAAGTTCTATTCCTTTTCATTGGGAAATCTTTACTATTTAAATAGAAAAAAAAAACAAATAATCTATATTTTTAAGGTAAATAAACAGAATATATATGAGAGGTGAAAAATAAAACGAAGAAATAAAACACCAAGTCGAATATTCTGTTTTTTTTTTTTATCATTCTGCTGCTTTGAATCACAGCAACATTTGGCAGCGAGACTCATTTTCAAGAATTAATGTGGGTTTGACCACATTTGTAAAGCATTTGAATTTTTGCCCGCAGCCCATATATTATTTATAAGCGCATTATTTAAAATAATTATTATGAACTAAGTTCGTTGTTTCTTTTTTTTTTTCTTTACTCTGGTATGAAAATGTGTGCTTTTTGGATGTTGTATCCATAAATATGAAAATTTATATACATATATATGTGCAGTTTCATGGACATAAGAGAGTATATTGTTTCACCCATGATACTCCCCATGCGTTTCTATCCCTGAGGACGCAGGTATTATTGCTCTGTACCCTGTAAATTCACTGCCATAAGCCACCCTTCAAACTGAAACACAGCTGTGCAAACACAACTGCTTCACGGTTGAAACATGAATGGAAAATAATAAATTATTTGTTATCTCTTGAGACTAATTACTCTGTCAATTTTTTTTTATACCACTGAGGTGGCAAACAAACATATGGCCCACCTGATGGTAAGTGGTTACCGTAGCCTATGAACACCTGCAATACCAGAGATATTACGTGTGCGTTGCCGACCCTAAAGAAACCTCTTTACCCCCCTTTTGTAGAACCTCATGCTGTAGTCTCTTGGAAAAACCTCGGCAGGGAGCTCATTCCGCAACCTGAGTGTTCGTAGGAGGAAACATCTCTGAAACCGCGCAGTACGCGACCATTGAGGCTGTAGGACATGAGGATGAACTCCCTGTCGATAGCGAGCCGTAAGATGGTAGAAAGTGGCTGTGGGCATCATATTGAACAATTCCTCTGAGCACAATCCATTGTATAGGCCGGTAGAACACGCAGAGTGATAAAAGTTTTAATACACATAATTTTTGGGATTAAAAGAGATAAAGATTGTTTTATATCCCAATCAATCAACGTATCCTAGTCATGCAGACAAAATAGTGGATGTAAACTGATAATATAAAATAAAAATATATATTTACCTCGAGGAGTTCAAAAACACCAGATGCAATTCGTTTCTCCAACTTTTCACGAGATACGCCGTGCTTGCTCATTCCAAAACTTTTAAGCCATGTGGTAATTAACTTTCGTTGGTCCTTCCATAATCCACCCTCGGCGCAAATAATACCTTTAAAATTCTAACTTTATTACATTCTTCTTTAACTGTGAGTGTTACTTGTGCAGTTTTAAATTATGAGTATAACATGTAGAGTTTTTTTTTTTCTATTTTATGAATATATTTCTACCTTTTACTAAGAAAAGATTATTCGGAATTCTTGTTTAATTATGGACTGTGGTAAGAAGTAACAAGTACGGAAGAAATAATAAATTATAGTTCTGTGGTTTTGTTTTCTTGCAAAGATTAATAAATTTAATTATTATTAATTAATTAATATATATTCTTTATTGCACTTGTAAATTACATTGTTAATGCATTTATAAATACTGTGAGCAAGGGTAATCATCATCATCGTCATATTAGCTTTTCACTGCCCACTGTTAAACATAAGTTTTGCTTGTAGTTGTCTGAAATATGACCAACGGTTCCATATTCACTTTGAGCAAAGCGATCACTGCAATCCTATTTTCTTTAACACCCCATTCCATATTGTAATTTGATAATGAACATGAAAAAATATGTAAAATAGCGCGAAATCGAAAAAAGTTTTTAAAATAATTTATTAACGTGTTCTAAATTTAAAATAATTAAAAAGTTTAAAAAAAGAAAAGTTTTTATGTGACACTAACTGGCCAGACTAGTTAGGTATTTAATTGATTTATAATAAAAATAACATTTAAATCAAAAACTTTTATTACAATTGATTAAGGATGATGTAATTTTATTTTTTGCCTTTGTTGCATTCTAATATTATTATATTTTTTTTTATTTTAATTTATATAACTAATTTATGTATAATTATTATAGTTGCATATGTAACTGCTTATTACCTTTATCAATTTGTAGTATCAATACTACCGATAAGATGTCATTGACACTTATAGGCAATCTCTAAGGAATTGAAGTTAGCATTTATAGATATCACGTATTTGTTATTATTTTAATGTAAATACTTAAAGCTTCGGAGTATTAATTAGTTTAAATGTGATAATTTTCTCCAAATAATTGTTATGATTCTAAATATTGTATTAATAAGTGAAATATTTCGTATAAACCTATTTACATGTACAACAAGAAATTACAAGTATTTTATCTGTTATTTATGTTACATTGCAAAACGTAAAAATAATTAGAAATTATTTTGTTCATACTCTCGCTAAATCAACTCTGAGCATATATTATGTAGATATTGTTCTATTGTCTATCTCGCTCTAACATATAAATTATTATATTTTCTTTATTTTACATTGTGAATTCATACACCTTATATATATATATATATATATAAGGTGTATGAATTCATAGAATGATGAAATAATAGAGAAAACAAAAATATCAGTAACATTTTTTAACAAATGCAATTTCCGTTGCTATTGAAAGATTTTACAATACGATTGTTTTACAAATAAGTACTCGTACTTACCATTTCCTTGCATGATCCCATGCGTCAAATAAAGAGGAGCTCGACCCGAAAAATTTTCTTTGGCGAATGCATCTCTTACCAATTTATGATCAGATAATACCACTCCATAAACACTACCCATGCTAATTCCATAGATAGGGCCATACTCTTTAGACAACTTTGTTAAAGTCAGATGCGGATGGTTCCTGTCTATAAATGGTAAATATCCTACGATAGGAAGACCCCAGGGTCCAGGAGGTAAATGTTGCCGTTCTTTTATTTTTTTAAAAATCCAATATCCAAGCACTATTGAGAATAACCACAATGCGATGAGATCCATTATTAACTGAAACAAAATTAATGTTTTTACAATTCAATCAAATTATTATTATAACAACCAAATTGCAATGTTTACTTTTTACCTGATGATAACCAGCACGTAATGCAGTACTCTTTTATTAAACAACCTTATTATTAAAAAGTAAACAAAATTACCAAATCTATTTTTAGAATAGGTTATCGCTGTATATAAATATTTATCTACGTATAGAGCGTTCATATAATCTAGTCATTATTTTATATAATCTCCAGCGTCTATATTAAAAATGCATCATTTATTTAACGTGTTACCTGCCTATAATTTGAATGCCAATGTTACCAATATGAAAATATAAATGCGAATTGACGTAATCATGACATCACTATACGTATCATATTACCTAAAGTAGGTATGATAAGGTTTACGTCTTAGTACTTATAAGTACTATAAAACTATATAATTATTTGAAAAATTAAAATATGTACGTACCTGCAATATTTACAGTCTAATTGATATTTAAATAGATGTCGAAACTCAAATTATCTTGCTTGCGCCACAAACGTTTAGATATCAGACCACTTATCACGAGGGCTGACGCACTCAAACTGTTAAAATCTCGATACCAGGTAGATGATTCCTGGACTGAAATTTGAATAGCAAATAAATACTATTTGATTTTTAAATTTTAAATTAAAGTTTATTTTGTACCATTTCAAACACACACGTATAGAATGTTACGGTAAGATCACAAAGGAGACGTCCATTGCGTGTTTATTTATGGCGTGCTACCTTTAAGTACTTTTTTTAGTCGACATAGATACAGCTCTTTTTGCGAGATCGTTATTTCTAAAACGATATTTCAATCGGGACTAGGGTAGTTTATATTCCTTTTTAGAAATATATGCTACAAAGAGGGATTACAGACTTACATTTGCAAGCTGCTCAGATATTTTGTAACGGTAAGTTGACCCATACAATACATAGGTAAGTAAAAATCTGAAAATTAAATTAGATATGAATTTAAATTATTTGAGACTTTTCCCCTATACCGAACACTGTAAACGACTGTTTGTTTTTTAACTAAAAATTGTTTTTATTATAATTTAATTGTACATAAGTACAACAGTTATTATAATAAAAACAAATTTTGTTTAAACATAGACGTAGTATAACGTAAATACTAGATTCTGTAATCTCGAGTCTTAAAAACGGATGAACCTTTCGTCAGCCAATTGTCAAATTAGCTGACTCTTTTTTTTATTAGTGTTCTATATACTGACGCACACAACATATCTTAAAGTGTCTATATTTAATTATTTAATAAATGAGTTTCGCTCACTAAAATGACGCAAAAATTATAAAACAAAATATAGAACGAAGAAAGCAATCACTTACAATCGGTAAGTATATTCGGATTTAAACATAGTTATAATATATAATATATATAGTTATATAAATATTAACATTCATTTTCAAGAATCTTAATATTTTTAGCTTCGCAAGTATCCAAAAAGTTTTCCACAATTGAATTAAAATTCCTGAAATGACGCGGATATTTTTTTATAATAATTAAATTATTTCTAATTATTATTTGTATTATATGCTATTTTCTTACATAATATGAATATAACACTTATGTAGTTATGTATATAGAGATATTAGTGAGTATTATGCAGACTCTTTAATATTATTCATATTAAATTTAAGTATACTGTTATGATACAATTACTTGAATTATTAATAAAATAGCTATGATTTCCAAGTAAATTTAAAAAGGAGATGGTAAATTGGACTATATATACATATGTTTTATCCAAATGATCTTTATTATTTGATTGATTATATTCAATATCGATTTCTTAGGATCCATATATACTTCAAATATGGATCCGGTGTCAGAAATAATCAAATTGGCCGCCATTATTATTTAAAGTAATAAAAGTGTTTATTACATTTAGTCAACTCAATTAAAATAACTCATTTTCTTTTCATACGTAGGTATTTACAAAAACCCGCAAGAAACTAAAATAGCTTCCACTTCAATTAATTCTAACATCAATATGTTTTAAATGTACAAAAATTCTAAAACATTCGTATTCAAAAAAATTAGTTAAGTAAAAATTATTTAAAATGATCATCACTTATAGTGACATTATCCGTGTATATTTATAGTATATACGAAATATAACACATGAACTTTGAGGACCGATGAGAAAATTTGGAGCTGGAAGAAGAGGTGAATAAATTACACTGAGATATCATAGAATTATCTGAAGTCCTAAGACAGGTAGAGGATACGATGATCCTTAAATCCGGTAACTTGTTCTATCACTGTCTCCGCAAGTCCCTCCTTAATAATGTTTTAAAATTCGAGAGTGTATCGGCAAGGATGGTATATCTTAAAATTACCAAAAGGAAGATTATATAGGTATATGCGGCGACCGTGGTACACTGCGATGATCAGATGGAGGCAATGTACAAGGACATTATAAGAGCTATACTTTACTCTAACACTCATTACACAGTATCGATGGGGGACTTCAATGCTAAACTGGGCACAAGAAAAGACGATAAGATGACAATAGAGAACTACGGTACCGGGCAGCGAAATCCTAGGAGACAGCAGTTGGCTGACGTCATGAAGAAGGAGGAATTCTATGTAGAACTCCTTTTTCCAAATCGTCCACAAAGAACCTGGGCTAGCCCCGACAGATAAATAAAAAATGAGACAGACTTCAACATGATCACTAATCGCCTTTTGTTCAATGATGTCTCAGTGATCAATAGGTTGAAAACCAGATGTGATGACCTAATTGTAAGAGGTACATTCCATCTGAATATTAGGTTAGAAAGGTTTCGTCTGATGAAGTCTACGCTCCGACCTTCATATGTCTATACAGAAAACCTTGAGAATTTTAAACTCGAATTATTAAATTGCGTTCAGCGCCTGGTAAACTATAAAAAAGACGAAATATTAATGATAAACTAATGGAAACTTTCCAAGCAGTAAGAGCTAAACTTTGTAAACCCCAACGTTAAAAAGAAACCCAAAATTTCTCTGATCGTATTCTAGATTTTATGAGGAAACAGCGTGAATTATGGTCCCAGTCTTCAACGTCTACGTAAGAATATAGGTAGCTCAATAGGTAAATTTCCAAGTGTATACGGCGTGATATATTAATTACATACAGATTTTGAATGTGATTGAGGAGTTCTATGAACAGCTGTATAAAACGTCATTAACACCGCATACCAATGCGAATAAAGACCAAAAAGCTGAACTCATCCGACACTATAACGATGATATTCCGAATATCAGTTTGAAGGAGATTGAAATGGTTCTCAAACAGCTTAAAAACGGCAAAGCACTGGAAGAGGACGAAATTACTACAGAGCTTCTGAGAGCGGGTGGGAAATCAGTACTTGTAATCTTTCAGAAGCTATTTAATTTCGTCATCAACAACAATGTTACACCCGAGGCGTGAAACAGAAACGCGGTAGTGCTGTTTTTCAAGAAGGGTAACAATACCCTTTCGAAGAACCATAGATCGACGATGACGATATTACTTCTGAATCGCCTTTACGTATTGTTTTCGAGAGTCCTGAATAATCGTCTTACGCACAAACTCGATGATTTCCAGCCACCCGAATAAGCTGGATTCTAAAAGGGCTTTAGCACCATAGACTACAAACATAGGCTACGGCAGATTATACAGAAGACCGAAGAGTACAATCTGTCACTACGTCTGGCGTTTGTGGACTATGAAAAAGCCTTTGATTCGGTCCAGACATGAGCGGTACTACAGTCACTCCAGTTGTGCCAGATTGACTATAGGTATATTGAAGTGTTAAAGCGTATATACAATAAGGTTACAATGTCTATCCAAGTACAGAACCAGGGAACGAAATCCATCCAAGTGCAGAAAAGTGTAAGACAGTGTGACGTCATATCCCCAAAAGTCTTCATAGCTGCAGTGGAAGATGTTTTCAAAGACTTGGACTGAAAAAGATATGGTATAAACGACAATAACAAATACAGCACTCACCTTTGATTTCTCGACGACATAGTAATCATGGCGGAATCCCTGGAGGATTTGAATACTATGCTTAATGACCGCAATGGTACTTCTCAACAAGTAGGTCTTAAGATGAACATGGACAAGACTAAAATCATGTCTAACGTCTATGTCACATCCACACCAGATAGGATTGAGAATACTATGCTCGAAGTTGACGACAAGTATGTATATCTAGGACAACTTGTCCGAATAGGTAAGTTCAACTTCGACCGAAAGGTCAACCGATAATTCTAACTCGACTGGGCAGCGTTGGAAAACTAAGCCACATCTCTTCATCCAAAATACATCGAAGTTTAAAAACGAAGGTCTTTAACCAGTGCGTGTTGCCAGTAATGAGTTATGAATCCAAGACATGGCCCTTGACACGAATAATATGATTGCCTGTATGCAAAAACTTCAAATTACTCAGCGGACTATGGAGAGGGCTATGCTCAGAATTTCTTCGTGTGATAGAATCCGAAACGAGGATATCCGCAAAAGAACCAAAGTAACCGACGTAACCTATTTATTATTTTAACATTGCCATATAATTATCTATACTTATATCTAACAAATCTGTAGAGTGGCCAATTCTGTATATGAAATATATTTCCAAAATAACTATCAGGGGGTGATTAGTGATTGATACTGATGCCAAAAATGAAATCAGTAAAATTTTTGTCTGTCTGTCTGTTCGTTATAGAAACAAAAACAACTCGACGGATTTTAACGAAACTTGGTATAATTATTCTTCATACTCCTGGGCAGGTTAAAGTATACTATTCATCACGCTACGATCAATAGGAGCAGATCAGTGAAGGGAAATGTTAAAAATGTCCACCCGTGCGACGCCGGGACGGGCCGCTAGTCTAAACTAAAATTGTAATAAAGAGGAAAGATTCGAATTTTTGATGAACTAACAACTATTGCAAATTTAAATTCAAATCATCTTTTTTCAAATAGACCTGTTTACAAGCACTATTAAATCGCCATTTTTTTTAAATCTATTGTAAGGGTCGGAATGTTGTTATCTATTGAGAATAGCTCGCAAGAAACTCAACAGTTACTCTTTTAAATGTCTGTAAACATTATGTGTATTTATTTAAATGTACTAAATCTAAAATTACATGGTCATTAAAAAGCCCGTACATAATCGACCATACACGCTTGTTATTCAAGTAATCGTTTAGAGGCTTTGTTCAATAAGTATTTTTTTATAACAGTTTAAAATTTATTAAAAGGTAAATCAAAAATCTTACCATTATAGTTAAGTCACGAAAACCGTTTTTATTCGGACTTTTCAAGCGAAATACAAGTAAAGGTACATGTAAAATAATATTTATAACACAGATTTCCTGACGTTTTGCAACACAGGTTCTCCGTATAAGAACCGGCGACAGACTGCCACGCGCATTTCACGCAACTCTCTGATACTGGTAATTAATATAAATTTAGGATATTGTATTAAAATTTTGGTCAAATTTAAACACACAGATTAAAAAAATATATATCAGCTGTAGGTATGTACATGAATTTAGAAAATCTGTCTATTGATTTTGACGAAATATCAATTTTAAGAAAATGATAGGCGTTTTTTCTTTGTTAAATTGATGTAATTTATAATTCAATAAAATTCATTTCAAACACAATTATTATAGTTTAAGGATCACATCTTATTAATTTTTCACTTTTTACTACTACTCTAATCTGGAAATAATATTTTACAATGACCTTTTCAGAGATATAGCGCTTTAAAGAAATAAGATTAAAAGCATGTGAACAATGTGCAATTTTGTAATCTTTTACCTAATTTATATTCTATCTAGGAACAGCATATTTAATTGTAATCAATTATATCCACCTAAAGCTAATTATATTTCAAAGTTTAAAAGTAATAAAAATTTATTTCGTTAATAAATTTATAATCCCGCCAAATCAGCTTCCAACTTGATTGAATGTTCTACCTATCTATTCACTCTACCCGTGAAATAGGATTACCCGCCACCATTAATTTTTCAGCTAATTCATAGTTATATTATAATAACTTTATTTAAAATTCACAACCTACTTAATTTTTTAAACTAATAACGACATCTTCACAAATTTGTATACTAACTCGATTGTCTCGTCAATAGATCTCTCAAAGATAAAAAAGTACACTCGTGTGTCTAAAATAACATAGTTAATACTACGTACGAGTATTTTTCAAGGTAAGATTAAAAGCCTTCTAGCGTTTCATAAACACAAATGATATTACTGCCTAATGGAAATGAGTTGAATATGTTGATTGAAAAACACAGATTTAACATTACATATTTAAATTAAATAGTCAACAAGCTAGATACTATTTTGAATTCTTAATTCTCAGCCAGCAAAAAACTAATTGGTAAACAATAAAATTTAATTACTAATAATTTATACTATAGAAAGACTTATCTAAAAGTAAATGAAATAAGATACAAATTATAAAGTCTTCTTATTTACGTAGCTATGTATATTCTGGTCTCATGTTTTAATGTTATGTTTATGTTCTTAATGTAAAATTTTGGTAAAAGATGCTTTTTACCGATGCTTTTTAATTGTTCATTATTAGACAGTCAAAAGATGTACTTGTATAAGCTACTTTTCTATCTAAAAAACCTTTTGCGTCCAAAATTAATAAGTTTTGTATCAATCGAAACCGTCAATCTATTAAATCATTATAATTATTATTGAAATATTTTTATTGAATTATTGAACTTACAATGAATTCGATTCAATTAAATTTTATACGATCATATTTCGTAAATATTTTTAGTGATCTGTTAAATCACACCAAGCTACAATATTTTTCCAAACCTGTTTCATCTAACAAACATAAATTATTGTATAATATAACTTATTATAATTGTAATAAATTATAACGGGCGAAAATTAACACTTAAAAATTTATTTTTCATCCAAAAAAGGTACTATAAGAAGTAAAAATGAAAAGATTATAAATAAAATATAGAAAGAAGTAATGTTATATTAAATAAATTTAAATTTAAAATGTATTTAAAATTTAAAATGTATTTATTGGAACTATAAAAAATTACAAAAGTAGGGTAGTGTACGATAACAGCCACATTAGTTAAAAATAATTGTGTCGTAGCTGTCAAAATATTATTCAGAAACTGAGGAATAACTTAGATATAGTGAGATTATTGAGTTATCGTTTAATAGAATTTATGTTAACATAAATAAATGTGAATTTTTAAATGTATATTAGATGCCGAAAATTAGTGGTCGAAATCTGAGACTGGTGTCACCATTTTCAGACATATAATTTTTCAGCTTATTTCCAAAAAATTGTATTCACACAAATTTATATGTATAATAAATTTGTGTGAATACAAACTAATAAGCAGTATCAAAATCAGTAAATTAAATTAATAAAATAAATCAGTTGAGGTTACCAGAACAGATCAGTCCCTACAGGCAACATCCGTTCACGAGTATGATGAATGAGCCAGCCGTCTTTGCAGTCAACCATATTTTAGGGAACTCAATAACCCGTTTCACCACGCCGCTACCTGCCTGGACATTTTAGTCAGCATGACTTACTCAAGGCCCCCAACTATTCATGATACATACTATATAACAGTAACAATAATGTCATACATTAGCTAAACACTTAAAGCGGGCCTTACTATCCCATATATTTCTCTTTTATGATACTAATCTAAAATAATAACTATCCTCTTATTTTTCCATAGCACAGTGTAAACATATCTGGAAGTAATCGATTATTTTTAAGCAATTTCCACTAAAACTTGTTACGTGCCTCAGTGATTAATACTTTTGCAATTCTTTTTACAATGGATAGAATTTACTTTCCTGTTGATTCCATTTTAATTTTGTAACGATTGAAGATTCCGTTTTTCTTTATACAGCAAGAATTTGCGAAGCAAAATCTGAGTGTGTATGGTATCTATAAAACATCTCTACATTTACTTTCACGATTATAAAAAGTATGTCCAAATAAGTATTGTGACTAATTTGATAGTAATACCTATTAAATCAATTGGCAGCTACGGCAAAGTCAAGCTAAAACTTGTTTGTGGAAATAACGTATATAAAAAAAGTATTGGACACTGCAAAATAAGAATGTAATCACCTTTACATTGTATCAACGTACCGGTACTAGTTACTGAATACCTACACAGTATTTATCAGATAAAAAAATACTTTTAAATTGTTGTATTTAGCAAGTTGAATACTTGCATTATCATATCAGCCGTTAACTGTCCACCGCTGAACATACTCGTAAGTCTTCCTCATAAGAGGGGTTGAAGCAGCTTAGTTGGTCCATCGTGATGAATTCAAAAATAATTAACCACGATGGTTTCCAGGGGAATCCGCGAGAAGGTCGACCTGATAAGATATATTACTAGGTATCGGGCTGTTAGACCACTAACCCTAACTAACTAATCCAACAATCTATTTCTCCCCTACTAGTTAGGTAGGTGTCCTTGCCATATACGTTAATATGCATATTGTAACATATTAAAGATCGTCACGAAGAAGCACTACTAAGACTGATAATAACATACCTGCAGTACCTCATGGGTGGCGGTAGTCACTTAACATCAGATGAGCTGCATGCTAGTTTATTGTAAAAAAATATGATTTCAATATAGCCTATATATTACGTCCTATGCTGAAGCGTTAGGTTTATTGGATTTCCCTTCTAGCAACTCTACCGATAACTGTCTTTGTCTGATGACTCTAATTTAATTATTGTTTATATTTGTTTATTTGTTCAATTTGATTGTTATTTGTATATAATTAATGTGTTTATTATGTAAATAACGTCGATTATTGTTGATGTGCAAATTAGTGACATAAATTAATGTTATAAAATTTATCGGACAACTTTCAAAGTTCAGATAACTTCCGACAGCAATATTGTAAATTGCTATAATTTTTTATTGATATTACTATTATTATATATACTTAACTACTTACATTTTATATAATTACTACAAAAAAATTCACTCAATAATGAAGATCGAATGTTTTTGTTGAGGGAAAACTATATACCCACTAACTCAAAACTATAAATATAAAATAAATCAAGTTAATAATTTAATTTACATATTGATACAATGACTCATATAATATATTAATATAAAATAACAAGACACACAGCAGTCATCAACCACCCAACAGACAACTAACAACAAACAACATTCAACAAACATATCAGAGTCAACCTACACACTTCATAAACCGAACACACAACCATTCACAAATTTAGTACACACTCAACAAAGGAGAGGGCAAGGTAGAAGAAGAAAGACGTAGAAAAAATTATTAGGGAGCGTAAGTACCTTTTTTTCTATGGGTTATAGGACGGGGTATACATTAAAGCCGACATAAGTCGAGAATGTGAAAACCATAACTAAATCGAATAATAATAAGAAGTATCTATTATATAATAATATTTTGTTATTTGATATTAACAAATTGTTGTTGTTACAATTTTTTATTTCACTGGAGATAGATAAATGTTGTCTACTTAAAGTAAATCTTTCTAACAATCCAAATTCCTTCTCTACTGTAAAATTGTGTACCGCACCTCTTGATTTTATAGATCCCATTGCCTTTCTTGGAATCACTCATGATAATAAACTTGAATGGGGTCCTCATATTCAAAATCTTACCACCAAAATAAGATCGGTGGTATATGCTGTATGCAGGATTAAACAGTATACTAATGTTGAGTATGCATGGGATTTTTAATAACGATGTAACTGAGATTTAAAACATTAACTGTTGAGTTTCTTACGGGCTTTTCTCAGCAGATTTCGAATTCTGCAGTAGATTCATAAAAATGACAATTTAAAAGTGCTTGTAAACAAGTCTATTTTAATAAAAATTATTTGATTTTGAAGATCTTTTTAGAGATAAACTCTTTGCTCATATTATTTGTAATTATTATTATTAGTGTATTTCTGAGTACAATACAAATATTACTATATTGCATAACAATACCAAATCAATCTTTAAACGCAAAGACAAGGCAGCGTGCGAGATGTACGGGCGAGGTCGGGCGAGTCGCGGGCGCAGCGGTGCGCGTGTGAAGGCCGGTCAGCGGCCGCGCAACTCTTATCGAACCAATCATAACGATCAAGTAGTACCACTTGCACAGCAAAATAAATATCAACAGCAATTCAATCTTATTTGTCTCAACATACAAAGGTTCTAGTACATTTTTTTTTTAAATGAAAGGATGGTAAATGAACTTGCGATCAACCTGATAGTAAGAAGTAATTATCACAGCTCACGGATATTAACATCATTGGAGGAATCGATCTTCATTGACAGAATTTTAAGAAGATATATATTCCCTTCTTGAACGTTTCTAATTCTCCATGTCTAGTATACA